GCCCAGTTCCTTCTGCTAACACGACCAAAGCTCATTAGACAAAGTCTCGTCATCCTCCCTTATAAGGAACATTCTAGCTGTATTTCTTTCAAGAATATCTTTCTACCATCTGTTCATTTTTCTGGCAGCCCATGGTGTATTCAACATTCTTTGCCAACATCACAATTCAAGTATGTTGGTTTTTCTTTGGTCTTCCTTTTTCACTGTCCACCTTTCACGTGCTCTGGTAGCACAGTGGCTAAGGCACTTGACTGCTAGCCAGAAGGCTGGCAGTTCAAACCCACCAGCCACTCCTCGGAAAGAAGGTTGGGCAATCTACTTCCGTAGTGATACTGCCTCAGAAACCCAAGGAGGGGTCGCTATGAGTCGGGGCCAACTAAGTGGCACACAACAACAACATGAGGCTATTGAAGATACCATGGCCTGGTCAGGTCCACCTGAGTCATCAAAGTGACACCTTTACTTTTTAAAATTTTAAAGAAAATTTTTGCAGTAGAGTTACCCAATACATCATTTAATCTCTTGACTGCTCCTTCCATGGGTGTTGATTATGGATCTAAGTTAAAAAAAGTCTTTGACATATGAACTGCTGTATGGAAAGTAAATTCACTCTGTAAACTTGCACCCAAATCACAGTAAAAATTAAAAAGAAGAAGAAGTTGTCCTTGACAACTTCAATCTTTTCTCAATTTATTATGATGTTGCTTCCTGTGGAGGTTAAGTTTGTGTGTCACCTTGGCTGGCCCTGGTTGAATGGCTGGGCAACTGAATGTAGTTATTCCCCACAATGGGATTAGTAATTAACTCCATGGTGGAATCTACTGAAGCAGCTGAGTAGCTGCTTTGGGTGTGTGGTCTGCTCCCCGTATATAAGAAACAGCTTTGGGAACGGTCTCTAGCTGACAGCATGCTTGAACCCTGCATGTAGCCGTGTCATTGTTCAGCACCCTGCCATGCTCTGCCGATCTTGGGACTTTTAATGGACTTGAATGAATGGCCTGCCATATGGTTTGGTAACACTGGGACTGTGCCATTTTGTCGACCTTGGGCTTGTTAACCTCAGCAGCCAGTAGCTGCCTGAGTGAAGAGATGCCTCTAACTTCAGTGGGCCGGGAGCAGAGGCAGAACTGAAGCCCAAGGTCAAGGGGCCGTCACCCAGCCCCTGAGCCTGGCACTTTGAACTTGGACTTAAAGCCTCCAAACTGTAAGAGAATAAAACTCACATTTGTTAAGGCTATCCCATTTGTGGTATATTCCTGTCAGAGTGGCACTAGGTAACCAGAACACTTACTGATCCAGTTTTGAGAATTTTTTTTCCATTATGTTGAGGTGCAATCCATACTGAAGGCTGTAGTCTTTAATCTTCACAGTAAGTACATTGAGTCTTCTTCACTTTCAGCAAGCAATGTTGTGTCATCTGTTTATTGCAGGTTGTTAATGAGCCTTCCTCCAATCCTGATGCTGTGTTGTTCTTCATATAGTCCAGCTTCTCAAATTATTTGCTCAGCATACACATGGAATACATACGGTAAAAAGACACAATGCTGACACACAACTTTCCTGATTTTAAACCATGCAAAAGCCCCTTATTCTGCTCCAACTGCCTCTTGGTGTAAGTACAGGTTTTTCACAACATTATCTGTGATTTATCATCATCCACACAGTCAAATGCTTTTGCACAGTCAATAAATCACAGGTAAACATCTTTCTGGTACTCCTGGCTTTCAGCTAAGATCCATCTGACATCAGCAATGACATCCCTCGTTCCACGTCCTCCTCTGAATCCAGCTTGCACCTCTGGAAGTTCTGTCAGTATACTACTACAAACGTATTTGAATGATCTTCAGCAAGATTTTACTTGCAGATGATATTAATGATATTGTTCTATGATTTCCACATTCTGTGGGATCTTCTTCTTTGGAATGGGCAGAAATATGGCTCTCTTCCAGTCAGTTGGTCAGGTCCATCATAAGCATAATACATTATACACACATATGCATATAAATAAACACTAAACAGTAAAGAGAGGCAAAGACAGGGAGAGCTAGCTGGCTGCAGAAGTAAAGATTCACTTGGGCTGAGGGGCATCCCGGAGTGGCACTGTCAGTAAAGCACATGACTATGATCTGAGAAGCTGGCACTCTGAGCTCATCCAGAGGTGCCTTGAAAGCATGGCCTGGCAATCCACATGAAATATCTCAGACCTGCAAACCCTATGGAGCAGTTCTGCTCTGCACGCACAGAGGGCCAGGAGTTGGAACCAACTTGATGGCAACTGGATGGTTTGGTTTTTTAAAGGGTTTCTAGGCACAGTCCTTTTGGCACACCCAGAAGCCCTGGTGCACACCCACTGGGAGTACGCTGCTCGGCACTTAGCATGGAAACAATCTCCTTTATCTGTCGTCCGACAGCAAGGGATGGGGGGGCTCCTCAGGGGCTGAGACAAGAGCACAGACAATCCTTCCCTTGAGCCAGGCGGCCGAGGCCAGGGGTCCCACAGAGCAGATGGGTATCCCCACACGTGCTGATGAAGAACGGGCTGCACTTACATGGACGTGTGCCCAGGCCTAGTCTTTTCAATAATGTATTTTTAAAACTCTGTGCAACGATACAACATTTCAGGAGTCAAACATGATACTTGGAAAGTGAGGAAGCAGGACTGTCACTCACAGTTCAGGTCACCCTGCTGGGGACACGCGTCTGTCACCGTGTCAGACTGTGGCGGCCTGTGAGCTGTCACCACACTGGAAGCTGTGCCACTGTATTTCCATTCCCAGCAGAGTCACCCATGGTGGACACGTTTTACCAGCGCGACTAGCCTCAGACAGACTAGGAGGAAAGGCCTGGCAGTCTAGGTAAGAAAATGAGCCAATGAAAACCTTATGGATCCCAGCAGGACACTGTCCAGCACAGTGCTGGAAGGAGCCAGAGGTGGGCTTGACAGCACTGCACAGTGGCTGCAACCATGGACTCAACCATGACAATGATCATGAACATGGAGCAGAACGGGGCAATATTTTGTTTCCCTACAGTCACCATGCAGCAGAGCCAACCTGAGACCAACAAACAACAGGATACTAAGGTACTTCTGATATAAAGCATTCACAATAAATCCCTCCACGCTGAACAGAACGTACGGGCCCACCACGCACTGCAAGGACATCCCAGTCAGCACGGTCCTGACGCTGAAAGGCAGGACAGCACAAGCCAAAAGGGCTCCAGGTGCCAGACGCTGTCCTCGCACTGCTCCAAGGAGCCAGGGGCTCTGGGACAGCCATGAGCAGCCACCTGACCCCAGATGGGAGACGCAAGAGGCACCACGGCAAAGCCAGGGGCCCAAGGATGAAACTCCTGGTGGTCCCAGACTGGCCTGGTGGAGAGCTCCTGGGGCGTGAAGGCAGTTACTGAGGTGGGCATTTCACCCACAGTCAAGGTCGGCAGCCACTCGCAACGGCTCCACACAGCCTGTAGCACAGCTGGCCCTGGGACAACCAGAAAGCCAAGGAGAAAACTCCCAAAGCCCGCCAATACCGTTTGGGGTATCAAGTGCCCATGAAAATAACGCAACATGTGTATAACCTACATTAACATCCACAGGAAACTAATGCATGAGGGGTCGTATGGTTTAGAAAAAATCATATAGCACTCACGCTTTTGTGCAGAAGTAAGGCAACTGAGATGACGGTGGCTAAAATTCTCAATCAGACACAAAGGCATTAACGACCATCAGCTCAATGCGAGGACAGACTCCGGAGAGCAGAGACAAGGGGGTGCTGGGCAGAGGAAGCCACCCTCACCTCTCCAGGTAACCCCACTTTCTACCATCTGTGTATGTTTCACCAGACAGCCAGGGTTCGTTCGTCTTATGGCCACAGACGGTTCTTTGCTCTAAACCTGTACACTCCCCAAATCATTTCACTACTGGTAACACACCACACACTCTGTAAAAATAACAACATAACTGCAAAATGTTTGCAGTCAATGAATGGCACAGCCCCGAGCAAAGATCACCTCATTTCTGAATGGCTACACAGTCTCTGGGACGAGAGTTAAGACCAGGACGGGTGTCACAGGGAGCATGAGAAGCTACTGAGGACTACTGCTAAGGAGACATCTAAGGGACGAAACAGGTGGAATGTTTTTAACTTAAAAAAAAAAAAAAAAGAGAAAATGAAACAGAACAGGATGGTAACACGGAACGTGGAGGGACAGGAACGCTACAGTACAAAAGTTGTGCCACCTCCTGTCTTCAAAACAAGACAAGCGCTGCCATGAAGAAATGAATAGTTACCTGCATCCATATCTGCAAAGAATGGAACAGCCAGTAAGAGAGGGAAGGAACCAGAAATTCAGTGTCTCAGAGTTGGATTGAAAAAGGTTACACGGAGAGAAAATATAATTCAGAAAACTTCGGGGGAGCTCTAGCTTGACTAGGGGGGCTTGGGAGCAAAATGGTTCTCTAACCTAAGCTCTCAGTTTTACTTAAAGCAAAAAATAATATATGGGTATGTTAACTGAAGAAGTCAAAGTCTAATGGCTAAAGACACTTCTTCTCATGCAAAATGATCATTAAACGTTTATATCCTAACAATCTGAGGGGGGAGGCATACATCAGACTTATGGCGATGGTAACCGAGGGATCTGTTATGTAGGAAATTCTACGACTATGTAACACTACGTACAATTATGTATAAACTCAAATCCAGGTCGGAGAAATGCCCCACGGATAACTGAAGGAGTTATCTTGGGTGAACGCTGGGAAGGACAGAGCTAAGAAATCAATTCAGCAGCTCTTCAGAGCTCTAGTCTGTGCTGGGAATGCCAGGCAACAGCATCGGTTCACTAAGAACACTATGAGCAAGGGATACAGACTCAGAGATACTTATAGCTCTGGGTATCTCACTACTTTCTGGACATGTGACATATCAAAGGAAGACTGAGAATATGCTAAAGAAAATTTAAAAGAAAAATAGCTGGAAACAGCCTGCCGTAGGGCATACCTTCGGGAGACTCCTCCTGGACGTACGTGCCGGTCAGGTACCTGTGTACCAGGGCGGACTTGCCACTGGCCAAGTTACCCACAATTCCCTGAAACAAAGGAACAGACAATCTTTCAGAATAATTAACCACGCATACCCACAACCTGCAAATAAAAGGCTGACAGAATCACTGCTGCCTGCCGCAGCCAAGGTGCCCCTGCCCCACGTGGCCCAGTGCGCGTCAGAGCAGAACTGGGCTCCTCACGGTTCTCAGGGGCTGATTTTCTGGTGCTGATCACCAGGCCTTTCTTCTCAGGTGCGCCTGCGTGGTCTTGAACTCCCAAACTTTCAGCTGGTAGTCGAGCACTTACCCAATGGCATCACCCAAACCAAAAACCAAACCACCACCATCATGTCCATTTCAACTCACAGCAACCCCTCTTGGGCTTCCGAGGCAGTAAACCTTATAAAAGTAGATAGCTCCGTCTTCCTTCCTTGGAGTGGCTGGTGGGTTTGATCCACCAACCTTCTGGTTAGCCGTCAGATGCCTTAGGCACTGTGCCACCAGCGCTCGTTTTGCATCACCCAGGGATCCTAAAGCACAGAGGAACCCTAACGGATCCTACCATACAAAACCACCTTAAACCACAAGCAATGGTTGGATGGTCACGAAGAGCTCATTAAATACTTCAGGAGGAAGAAGAGGGATTCCAACACCCTCACCTCTCACGTTCTCCCCCGGAAGGGCACCCGTTTGTACAAGCACAGGCTGTGGCATCCTTCCAGATGGCAGGTGTGTTGCTGGCTACCTCTGGAGAGGGTCCCTTCACTGTGTAGACTGAGCTAGGTGCCAGGTTAACTGGGATGGTGGAGCACAATGGCAGTACAGAACAAAGAGGCAGTACAACGGCCAACGTGCTCAGCTGGAAGGCTGTGTTCGCGTCCACCCAGAGGCCCCTTGGAAGAAAGGCCTGGTGATCTACTCTCACAAACTCAGCAGTTAAAAACCCTACGGAGTGATACTTCTCTGACACACGCAGGGTTGCCAGGAATCGGAAAGTCTTGGTGGCAACTGGTCGCTGTGTGCTGTTTTGTTTTAACAACAAGGGATAATAAAAGTATTCTGGTGTGCTGTATCATGACAAGATGAACAGGATCAGATTCTGGAGCCTAATAGGGCTGTGGCCTGCAGACTCCCATCCTTTCCACACCAATCCCGCCATGAAACACCTCCCGCACTCAGGGGCCAGCCTTCAGCTCAGAGGGCATCTCCTCCAGGAAGGCCTCCTGGTGCCCACAGTCTCAATGGGGTGCCACTCTTCAGTGCTCCTTCTGGTGCCATCTCGTGACTCGCCACCTTCTCTTAAAACATCAGTATATGATCTCTCTCCGACACGGACAACTCCATGAAGGGCAGTGTGCTGGTTCCCTAGTGCCGCTCAGACAAGAATGCAACACAAATGGGATGGCCTTCACAAACAAGAATTTATTCTTACAATTTGGAGGCTTTAAGTCCAAGTTCAAAGTGCCATGCTCTAGGGGCTGGGTGAAAGCCCCTCAGCCTTGGGCTTCAGCTCTGCCTCCAGCTCCCAGCCCAATGAAGCGAGAGTCGTTTCTTCACTCAGACAGCTGCTAGCTGCTGAGGGTGAGAAGCCCAAGGTTGACAAATAAAATAGCATAGTCCCGATGTTAACAAACCACATGGTAGGCCATTAATTTAAGTCCATTTTAAGTCCCAAGGTCAGCAGAGCATGGCAGGCTGCTGAACAACACAGCTACATGCAGGGTCCAAGCGTGCCATAAGCTAGAGACTATTTCCAAGGCTTCTCCTGATATACAGGAAGCAGACCACATCCCAAAGGTAGTTACTCAGTTGCTTGTGGTAGATCCCGCCATGGAGTTGATTGCCAGTCTCATCATGGGGAATACTACATAGAGCTGCCCAGCCACTCAATCAGGCCCAGCCAAGTTGAACAAACTGAACCACCACAGGCAGGGACAGTGGCTTTTTGATCTCTGACTATCCCAGAGCAGCACCCAACCTCCACAAACTCTCCACAACACAGGGTGAATAAATCAATGACTGAATGAATGAAGCCTTCAAGTGGTAATCAGTGTTAATGGGACACTTTATTCCTTCTAGTAGCGCTGATGGCTACTGACTAAGGCATCTGGCGGCTAACTAGAAGGCTGGTGATTCACACCATCCACTCCTCTAAGAAAGACTGGGCAATCTACTTCTGCAGAGATACCGCCTCGGAAACTCAAGGAAGGGTCACTATGAGTCGATCGATTGGACAGCGGTGAGTCTGGTTGTTGGTTTTCCTCCTTCTGCTGAACAGCAGGCTGGAGATGCTCCCAACAAAGGCGTCTCACTGGGATTTGACGTTGACTCAAGTCTCCTGTCCCCTTGGCCTCCTGAGAGTACCTGCCCGCTGCTGAGTCTTCCGCTCAGTTAGCTTCGTACTTAGAAACCCCACACAGTAGGCCCAGGATTACATTTCTAATTAACATGGGACGGAAATTCTCAACGTCACCCATTCTTCACCCTGTGCTTTCACGATTCAGTATAACTTCTGCCCTCTGCGTGGAAGTGGGTGTGCGGAGCCAACTCAGAGGGTGGGGGCAGGGGCGGGGCAGGAGTAGTCAGTTCACAGACAGACCCTCTCCACTGGGAGACAACCTTCTCTCAAACACTGGCAGAAACAGACAACCGAAGACGTGAGGAGGAAACAGGTGTGAGTGAAGAGGCTCTGGCAGCTGGAAAGCTACCCAGCCCCCCAGGAGCCAGTCCTGGAGGAAACCTGAGGGTGAACTTGGGGCCACCAAAGGCTCCGGGGAGCGAACAAGGTGACAGAGGTGGGAGGCTGCTTAAGAGTCAAAGGCGCAGCAGGCCCTCAGAGCTCCCGGGTGTGCAAACAGCTAACGCACTGAGCTGCTCACCAAAGGGTCAGAGGCTCGAGGTCACCCAGAGCACCTCGGAAGAAAGGCCTGGTGACACGCATCTAAAAGGTCGACTGCTGAAAACCTCTGGGGCTCAGCCCTGCTCTGACACACCAGGAGTCGCACCAGGAGTCCCGCCAGGAGTCAGAGCAGATCCTACTGTCAGTGGGGGAGGGGAGGACCACTAAAAGCCCTCTGGTGGGGGGGGGGGGGGGGGGAAGGGAGAGTGAAGGGGAAGGGGAGGGGGAGGAGGAAGAGTGTGATGTGGTAGGAGGAGGAGGGAGGGGAGTGCTGTGGTAACAGCAGTAATGCTGTAGCAGTAGAAGCAGTGCAGCAGCAGTCGGGGTACGGTAGCAGCAGTTGGGGGACCGGAGCAGCAGTCAGGGGGCCATAGTATCAGTTGGGGCTGGAGCAGCAGTCGGGGGGCCATAGTACACGTCAGGGGGCCACAGCAGCAGTCTCGGGGGCCATAGTACACGTCAGGGGGCCACAGCAGCAGTCTCGGGGGGCCATAGTACACGTCAGGGGGCCGTAGCAGCAGTGGGGGGGGCGTAGTAAGAGGAGGTGGCTGGCACCAGCATCTCCTGTGCCACCCCGAGAACCATCATGGCCCATGCTCAGGGTTCTCACGTGGCAAGAAGAGAGAAGCATGGGGCCAGAACTGTGAACCATCACCCGGCCCTGTACTTCACCACTTACCTGCTCACCACCACATGCTGAAAAGGAAATCTAAGCTGGCGGTGCACAGCCCAAGAGGTGGGTTCAGTAGAGACACAGTAACAGGATGTCATGTGTTACCAACCCTCACGCCCCGCTGCAGCACGATGCTGAGGTGCACCGACCTTTCCACCCAGAGGCAGGCGCTGAGTGCGTGCCGCCTTACCCATACTGTAGGGAGCAAGCCATGCCAGGCCGCACTCCACAACACCCGACAAGCAGCTGGCCACTGCAGACATCGCACCACCACTTCAGGAAACATAACACGTGGTACCACCACCCATGACCAGAACCCACACACTGAAGGCCTCTCCCCGACACATTCCGAGAGACTGGGTGCAAAGTACCACACAAAGCGTCCATTGGAGTCTACGATATCACTCGCTATGATGTCACTGGAGTCAGAAGAGGGCCTGGGCTCCTGAGGAGCTGGCTGAAGGGCCACCTGGCCCGGGGGCGTCGTGCTTGAGTGGGGAACAATCGCAGCCCTGTGGGGCACAGAGCCTGCCCCGCAGAACAAAGGACCCTTTCTGTGGTCAGTGCAGACTCCTTAGCACAAGAAGGGGTCTGCTGCTTTCCCCAGGGGAGGACACAGACGACAGCAGACCCCGCGTCCCTGCTGGGGTCCTGTCTGCCCACACACAGGTCAGGGGACAGGCAGCTCCCCTCAAGAGCTCAGAGTCCTCAGCTTCTTCCATGAGATGGAGCAGACAGCTAAGTGCTGCCCACAACCTGAGGACAGTCGGGCATTGGGGACACGAATCCAGCTGCCACTGACACCGCTGGTCAGTTACCCAGCAACTGACAGGATGCTGAAAAGGCCGTCAGCAAACACGTCTGGGAGACTGAGCACCCTCAACCGTGAGTCTGTGTGACAATGTGGGTCATTTCTGGACCCTCGAGGTGAGGTGTTTTTAAAAGTCAAAACTGGGACCAAATCACACAGCCACGCTGGTGACAGTCACTCTGAAGGTAGGCCACTGGCCACATGTGGCTGCTTCAACTGGATGAGCTGAATGAAAGTAAAAACATTCAATCCCTCCCTCAACCGTGCCAGCCACAGCTCCCATTTCCAGAGGGGCTACCGTGCTGGACAGGGTGGATGCAACATCCAATCACTGTGGAAATGTCCATGGGGCACTGCTGGCCTACAAGCACAGACTCTGGGTTCAAACCCCAGCTCTGCCCCTCAATAAGGCTGGTCCCAGGGGAAGTTCTTAGTGTCTCCAAGCCTCAGATCCTCATCTGTGCAGTGGGTGGCTGTCAGCATTCACTGGGTAACTGCGTGAAGCACCTGGGTCATGCCAGGCACAGAGGAAGTACTTTCTCATCACCATCATCGTCATCACCATCATCAAAAACTCCCCACACTGCCTTCCTCTGGTCACAGCATCGGAGCCATGCGCAGGCTGTCTTCACAGGGCATACCTGACACTGGCTAATGTTTGGGAAAAACTCCCAGTGCCACCATGTCACTCACTCAACAGCCATGTCCTGAAAGTCTTCTGTGGACTGAATGCTGAGCTGGGCAGACCGGTTACACAACACACAAAAGACAGAAACACGGGCCATCTTGAGGCCAGTCCTGTGGAACCCTGGGGCTTCCAAAACTGACACTGTGACTGGCAGTGGGACCTTTGTCCTCCATGAGGAAGGAACACATTGACAGGTGCTGCAGGACACGGTCAGAACTGGGGTGAGGATCGAGGAAGGGAAACAGGAAGGAACTGAGTCCAAAAAATGACAGCCAAGAACAGATCAGAGGAGGAGGGGGGGCCAACTCAGACGTGACAGGAGACTTCAGACCATGGCCTTCCTGGATTGCAAGGAGATTCCGCAAATGCCATCCTTCATTTTGGAAGATTAAATGTGTGTGTGTTGTGTGGTTATAGAAGTTACGTGTGTCTCCTTCAGAGGACCAATGTTCTCATCGCAGAAGGGAGAAAACCGAAGGGTTCTGCCCTGCCCCATGTCCCTTCCTCTGAGCCCCCACTGATGTGGGCCAATGCTAGGAGATGGCTCAGGGTCTCTGGGGCTCTAGCTGGGTCAACAGGAGCAAGAGCTGGGTGCTAACCACAAGTACAGACCTGGAAGAGAGAAACCAAATGCAGGGCAAGAAACAGCCAGTGTGGGTGTGCCAGAGGAGGGGCCGGGAGAGCTTGGGTCCACTTTGCAGCCAGTTCCCATCAGGAGCCCTGAAGTGCACACACTTAGCTGACTTCATTTTATGGCCAGAGTCCCTCACTGGAGAACTTTAAACACACACACACATACACACAGGAACATATGCATGTATGCATGCATGTCTATCTGTATGTATGTGTGTATGCATATGTCCCAAATACCACATATCTCACGATAAATAACTGGCTTGCTTATTTATTTATTTATTGTACCTCCCATGTCTTCCACTTCCTCAATACTACCATGCTGATTACTCACATTTGGTACACTGTCTTTCCTTTCACTCAAATCATTATTTGTACAACAAGCTTTTTTATAAGGTAACATTGATCCGTCCTTTCCTGCTGTCCTAAAGTCCCTTTTCAGGTGGGACCAGGCAGTGGGGAGGGGGCCAAAGTGCATCTGCACAGATCAGTTGTTTTTCACATGAGCCAATTTTAAGCTTTAAAAAATCCGACTGGAAGGGTACTGTAACAAAATCAAAATTATTCTTTAAAGATATCCTGATATTCTGTAATAAGGGAAATGGTTTTGGTATTTTTCAAATGATGAATGCCAAAGCTTGACGTCTCATCACATAAACCTCTCATGATATCATGCAAAGCACACATCAACTCACAGTTCGGTTTGTGTGTGTGTGTGTGTGTGTGCATGTATGAGAAAGAAGAAGGGGAGGGAGGGAAAGAGACACACAGAGGGAGAATGTGAGAGACAGAACCTGTCTCGCACACATAAGCCTGCCCCAGTGCCATTCAACCACCCAGACTCATACTGTCAGCTCCACCTGCTCCTGCCCAGTGATACACCAGAGACATCTCCCATCTGGGCCCAAGAGTTGGTCAAGATCCCTCAGATGTGCTCACCCAGTCCAATCCCACTTCTGACACCAGCTCTGCACCCTTGCTGTGGATGTGGAATGACAACCACCAAGGACAAAAGCAACCACTCACCACTTTGAGCTCTGGGACAGATCGGCTTAACGTCCATTCCTGGCTGTTCACAAAGGCATCTGTAAGACAGGAAGATAAAAGCAATGGTTAACACTATGACCCCTTAAGGGCCAAGTCCAAATGCCCCCATGTGTCATTTTTAAACTAGAAAAGTATCAAAGACTGTCCAATTTCCTCTGGCCACACGTACGCCAGAGAAGTTCCACCACGGCCAGAGTTCACCTGGCTGAGCCCTACACCAACCAGACACCCGGGTTCCAAGTCTGGGGTCTGCTTTCCAAGCTGCAGTGCCACATTGCCTGATGGCTTTAAAAGGCCTCTGTCCCTTTGAACTTCCCCTCTGCCAACACTCCCCCAGCACTTCAGGCCATCATGAGCATATTTTAAGACCCTTCCGACTCTGCAACTTTGAGATGCTGATCCCACAACCACTCAGTTATATTTTTTTAATAGTATTATTGTTTATTTCTGGATGATGGCAGTTACGATGGATTTTTGTTTTCTTCTTTATATTTTTCTGTATTGTCCAATTACTTGTTTTTAATTGTGGTAAAATATATATAAGAAAGCATTTTCTAGATGAGTAACATTTGCATGTGTGACTTGGTGACACTAACTGCATCCACCACATCATACGATCACTGTGGCTGTCAGCTGCTGCTGAGTAGGTTCTGATGTGTGGCGACCCTATCTGAGCAGAGAAGAAGAGCTGGTCCACAGGGTTATCAAGGCTGTGGCCTTCAGAAGCACATCACCAGGCCTGTCTTCCAGGCTACCTGGAAAGGTTCGAACTGCCAACTTCTCAGCTAGAGGCGGAGTGCTCAGCCACACGCACCACCAGGGACTCCTGTACAGCCACTAGCAGTATGTGACTCCAGATCATTCCACCACATGTCAGCAACCAGTGGCCCCTCAATCAGGTAACTTTTGACCTCACTACCTTGAACCCCACAAATTAAGAATGGTAGGTGTGGTAGTTAAATTTGTATGTCAACTTGGCTGGCCCTGGTTGAGTGGCTGGCCAGCTGGTGGTAGTTATTCCCCATGATGAGACTGGCAACCAACTCCATGGTACGATCTACCACAAGCAGCTGAGTAGCTGCCTTTGGGATGCGGTCTGCTTCCTGTGTATAAAGAGAAGCCTTGGGCATAGTCTCTAAGTTTATGGCACAATTGGACCCTGCAGGTAGCCGTGTCATTATTCAGCAGCCTGCCATGCTCTGATGACCTTGGGACTTAAAATGGGCTTGAATTAATGGCCTGCTGTGTGGTTTGTTAACATCGGAACTGTGCCATTTTATTTGTTGACCTTGGGCTTGCTAGCTTCAGCAGCCAGCAGCTGCCTGAGTGAAGAGATGCCTCTAGCTTCAGTGGCCGGGAGCAGGAGGCAGAGCTGAAGCCCAAGGTCAAGGGGCTTTCACACAGCCCATAGAGCATGGCACTTTGAACTCAAGACTTCTAGCCTCCAGAACTGTAAGAGAATAAACTCCTGTTTGCTAAGGCCGTCCCCTTTGTGGTCTATTCTTGTCAGAGCAGCACTAGGAACCAGAACAGCAGGTGATGACTGGATTCTGGAATTGACAAGGTCACAGTACAATCACCAGCTGGGGGTCAGGAGAGGATGTGGTACCAGAGCTCTGCCCCTCACATTCATATTCAACACTGAAGTTTCAGCCAGGACTAAGGACACACCAGAAAGACGACAGTTCCCACCCAGCCCCTGGCAAGGGCCTGCTCTCCACGCAGTCACCCAGCCAGCACACCCCCTTCCAAACCCATACACACAGGTTGTGGGGATCACCAGTGTTTTGGTTACCTAGTGCCGCTCTGATAAGAATATACCACAAATGGGATGGCTTGAACAAATAGGAGTTTATTCTCCTACAATTCAGGAGGCTAGAAGTCCGAGTTCAAAGTGCCAGGCTCTAGGGGCTGTGTGAAAGCCTCTCGACCTTGGGTTGCAGCTCTGCCTCTTGCTCCCAGCCCAGTGAAGCTAGAGGCATCTCTTCACTCAGGCAGCTACTGGCTGCTAAGGCTGACAAACCCAAGGTCAACAAATAAAGTCACAGTCCTGATGTTACCAAACCACACGGCAGGCCATTAACTCAAGTCCACTGAAAGTCCCAAGATCAGCAGAGCATGGCAGAACGATGTGGCTACACACAGGGTTCAAGCGTGCCATAACTAGAGACTGTTCCCCAAGCCTTCTCCCTATATTCGGAAAGCAGACCACATCCCTAAGGCAACTACTCAGCTGCTCACAGTAGATTCCACCACGGAGTTGATTGCCAGTCTCATCATGGGGAACACTACATCCAGCTGCCCAGCCACTCAACCAGGGCCAGCCAAGTTGACACAAACTTAACCACCACAACCAGGTACAGACAACTCAGATGACCCAACTTTACATATAAGCTGATTCCTTGTCCCCCATGCCACTTCACTCCACAAATGACACCCCCACGGTATGTACCATGGCCACTCAGCAGCTGAGCCAAGGCAGCAAGGGTGAGCTGGTCAGGCGTACCTCCACTGGTCCAGCCAGACTCAAGCTCAGAGCCAAGTGTCGGATTTCAAAATGCAAAGCAGTTTCTGTAAACTTTCCTCGAGTTCTGAAATGCAACCACGCTACACTACGTTTCCGGGGCAAAGTGACGCACAGGACATCAACAACGGGTGAGGAAAAGCCACTACTTCTGAGCAGAGGCACACCAGCTATTACATTAAATGGATGGAGGATGGAGGCACATAGCAGGAGCTCCCAGCTCCACTGATGGTGCAAAGTGTCACACAAAAGGACACAAGAGGCCCTTGGAGGCAGCACAGCCAACGCAAGCCACAGGACAAGTAAACAGGGTGGACGGCCACGTGACACACCAGATACTGACTCCACAGTGACTGGGGCAAAGGCCTAGGTGCCCTTAAGAGGTAGGATGCCCCATCAGACAAAGACTTCCAAGCTCCAGGGAAGGAAAGGCAATGAACTGAGAAGGGTCAGCCTTAGGAGAAAGAGGGAAAGTGGCCAGGGACTGGTGTTGAGGGACATTTAGGGACCTGAACGCCTAAGGAGGTGGCTCACTCGCCACCCACTTCCAGGAAAGCCCTTCATGATAGGAGGATGCAGAGCCCTGAGGACATCTCTCCAGCACTGCCATCAAGGACGCCCGGCCCAAGCCACTTCCACTTCTCGCTCTGCCCTCCACAAGCCCCACGCTAAAACAGACCCCTCGGGGGCTAAATTTGAGGGAGTGCCCTGGAGCCCTGACTCTGTGGTCAGTCCAGTCACCATCCCACCGCAACCTGGCCCAGAGGAGACATCATCTGTGACTATGTAACACCACGTACGCCACGGAAGCACCAGCGCTCAGTGAACGTAAACAAGTTCTCTGTGGGCGCCGAGGTGGGGCCAGGGAGGAGCAGTGGGCAGGCCGGCCCAGTGAGGACCCATCCAGGGAGGAGACGCAGGCCTACCAGTGCCCAGCTGCCCAGGACGTCACACCACGGCCATCGCCTCAGTAAACCCCAGCACTGGGGAAGCAAACGTGGATGCAGCCACATGATGAAACAAAGCAGTCGATTATAAGGTTGAGGCCTCCACGTGCTGGACGCAGCCCACACCCACCGCTGTCCAGTCGGTTCCGACTCAATAGCCACCCTTGGTGGGCTTACAAGTAGTTTGCCTCATCGTCCTGCCCTGGAGAAGCTGGTGGGTTGGAACCACTGACCATCTGCTTAGCAGACAAATGTTACCCACCACGCCACCAGAGCTCCTTACTGACAGTGATGTTAAGTGGTGAGAACAAGATAACCGGCCCAGCTGCCCTGTGCGTCAGAGGAGAGCTGAACCCCACGGGGTTGTCAATGTTCCTCTATCTGAAGCACGTCACCGGGCCTTTCTCTGGAGGCACCTCTGGGTGGGTTTGAACTGCCAACTTTTAAGATTAGCAGCCCAGCACTTAACCGCTGGCATGCCCCAGGGACTCCAAATGCAAGGTGGTGCCCGACAGTACTGTACAGGAGTCTAGCTGCATGTTGCGGGGGGCGGGGGGGGCAGTTACTGTAAAAGATACAGATGTGCTTGCTAAGGCCAAGAGGAATTCTGGTGGGATGCTTAAGATGGCTAAAGGTCACTGACTTAAGGATGGGGGACCAGGTAGCTAGGGGACAAAGGTAATGGGGTAACGTTTTTTTCTTTGCTACCTTTTGACACCTTTTGCATTTTATACAATTTGACCTGTTAAATAAGAGACTAAATATTTTAATTAAATAAGAGACTAAATATTTTAATTAACCCTAATAGCAACATACAGTGTGAATAAAAGTGGTCAATTCCTTAACACACCGCCACCTTGTAAACACAGTGCACAACATGGACCCACTGCAACAAATGGCAAACATTCATTGACATGAAACCACAGCCCGTCACGTGCGCACACACGGTTTTACACATGCTGGGGCATGGGCTCTTTGTACTGACATCCTCACCAAGAATCAAGCATACTGTGTTCCTGACAACAAGATAAATCAACTAAATGCTCTACTTAATTGGCAGAAACTTACCTTCTCTTAAATATGTGATCCCTCCATCAGTGTCCCGTTAGAAGGACATGCCACCTCAGACAAGGCTAAATGAAAGGAACGTAAGTGTCAGCCAAACACTGCCCACGGAGAACTGCACACGGACCTTCTGTGGCCTGGGCATCATGCTCAAGGCAGAGGTGGCTGTGATGAATGTCAGGGAACCCCCACCACAGTCTCAGGTGAGTACAGGTGGGAAGGAGCACCTGGCTGGTTGTTCTAAACCCCATTGCTGAGTCTACTGCAACTCACAGTGCCTAGAAGACAGAGTAGAAATACCCCCAAAGGGTTCCAAGGCTGTCAATCTTCACGGAAGCAAAGCCCAAACCACACCCACTGCCGTGGAGTCCATTCTGACCCACAGCGCCCCTAGAGGACAGAGTGGAACTGCCCACAGGGTCTCCAAGGCTGTCAATCTTCACAGAAGCAAAGCCCAAATCAAACCCACTGCCATGGAGTCGATTCTGACTCACAGCGCCCC